TAGCATCATCCCCGCAACCCTAGTGAGGATTAAGCGGTGTATAGATAATGGATGGATGGATATTATAATATAATATAATATGATTTGTTGCAGGACTGTGTCCACGGTTTGAACTGTGTCAGGTTCACTTGTCCTCTGGTCAACATGAACAACTCGGCGACTCTGACGGTTCGGGCCAGACTCTGGAACTCCACCATGATTGAGGTACAGACTTCACACGGCATCACAGTTTAAATCAGCTGTACGCCTTTTAGCCTCTCTCAACACCTGATTTAGTTTAGTTTGGTCTCTGAACCTGCAGAGACTCTGTGCTATCAGGAGTTTGTATTTTTTCCGCCCTCTAGTGGCCACAGAGTTAAAGCCTGTTTCAGTACGAGCTTCTCGTTTCAGGACTTCAGCGACGCGAGGAGTGTGTTGGTTCAATTCCGGGCAACCCTGAAGCTGCAGACCGATAAACCGACCATCAACATGGAGCCTCACAGCTCAGAGGTAACAGCGTGCTGCTGGTGCCCCCTGCAGGCAGCACACATAACTACACCCTCTGTCTGTTTGTGGTTTACATCCTGAATCTTCTTCTCTGCAGATCACCGTCCATATTTATCCAGAGCCAGGTTTGCAAGGTGACTCCGGCGTTCCCCTGTGGATCATGGTGGTGTCGGTTCTGGCTGGGGTTCTGCTGCTGGCTCTGATCTGCCTGCTGCTCTGGAAGGTAACCTGAGGCCCCGGTCCAGTTTTAGCTTCCACTCTGGACCCACTTCCACCGCAGCACCTTTACTTTTACATTCTCATCACCATGACATCATTGAGCTCTGTGAGCGAACCTGCGGGTTGGTAAAGTACTGTCATGTCGCCCCCTGCTGTTCAGTGCGGGTTCTTCAGGAGAGCCAGCACCAGGCAGCTGTACCAGGCCAAGACCCAGAAGGCCCACATGAAGAGCCAGCCATCAGAGAGCGACAGGCTGACCGAGGAGCTCTGAGGCTGGGCACGCTGCTACCAGAGAGTCCCTCTGTAAGGACCAGCTGCCAACCAACTCTTCACTGGTTACTGACCAGCTGTTTACTGGCTGTTTACCAACTGGTTACTGACTGGTTAGTCGTTAGTGACCAGCTGGTTACTGACTGGTGGTTGATTACAGATTACTGACTTGTTACTGACTGGTTACACTCTGGTTACAGCATGGTGAAAGATCGGTTACTGACTGTTTGCTGACTGGTTCCAGCCTGTCTAAAGACTGGCTACTGATCTGTTGCTAACTGCATGTTGACTGGTTACTGTATGGTTAGTGACTGGTATCTAGTTTGTGAGAACGGTTATTGGTTAGTTTCTAGTAATAAATGGTTAGTGACTGGTTATTATTTACTAACTAGTGTTACTGTTTATTGACTGGTTCCAGCCTGGTTTGTGACTTGTTGTTGGTTACTGACAGGTTAGTGACTAGTTATAGTGTGGTTATTGACTGGTTAGTGACTGGTTACAGCCCACCTGACTATCTCTGCCAGAGGAGACTTTTTATGTCGACTGTTTGAACGTCTTTTTCCATCTGCTTTTCTGGTCAATCACCTGATCAAGCTTCACATGCAAAATGAAATGTTCAAAAAGTGATGACAATGAAGAGGAAAAGCCACAAAGCCTGCTGCACGTTTACCTGTTCACCTTTCACCTGCTCACCTGATCACCTACTCACCTGTTACACCTGCTTACCTGTCCGCTCTGCTGCATGTTACCATGTGGACTGATGAGGTTTCTGACCCTGTGTTTTTCTGCAGTGTGGTTTTTTTGTGCGTCAGAGGGCGTGGCCAGCGGCGGCGCTCCACCAGGGGAGGATTATGGGCAAAGACAACCAGCAGGAGCAGTACACAGATGCTGATGGGTTCCTGATCCAGAACCAGGGGTCCTCGACCCGAAACCAGAGGTTGCCGAAACATTGGGTTACCTCCTGGACCGAGACCCACTGAGAGACTCCCAAATCAACGGAAACACAGCCTGAACCGGGCCAAACTGGACCAAACTAGATAAAACCAGATCAAACAGGACTAGACTAAACTGAGCTGGACCAGAATGGATCAAACCGGATCAGACTAATTTACTCAAAATCAGATCAAACTAGACCAGATTAAGCCAACCAGACCAGACCAGAACAAACTGGACCAAACCAGACCAGCACACTGCCAATCCATGTGTATGCTGTCATGTAGAAACCTCCTAACTTGTTTACATTGAGTTCAGTCATTAGGTGTGGAGATACGAGGTTTAGAGCTGACAGCAAGTGATTTATGTTATTCGTATGAATATGTCCCAGAATCCTCCGAGGCCCTGATCCCCAGCCTGATTGGATCGCAGCCTGATTGTTGATGATCAATTTAAAGGGCTGAGCGCTGCTTTAAGGACAAAACATGGCCGTCGGTGTTTTCTGTCTTTGTGCTGCCTTCAAAGGCTCCTGCTAACTCTTCAGTCCCTGCTGATAAGAATTCATGTTGCGTTCAGGTGCTCTAACAAAGATACTTGTTGTCATTGTCGACTCTTCTACGAGCTGTTTGTGTGAGACTACTGCTGCCTGTTTTTGTACAGTTGTGATATTTCTGACGGCACCTGAAAGCAGCAGTCTGTGTAGAATGTGTTGAGGTTGTGTGGTTTGTGCTGAATTCTGTTTCTGTATGTTGCTGACATTAAAGTATGTTTTGGATAACCCAGTGTTCTGTATTTTACCTGCCGAGGGGCGTTTGTGCTGCTGTGTTTCTGGACTTGTTGGTGCAGAGTCGAGGCTCTTGGCTCTCCTGGCCTTTAAATTTGTTTTGCATGTTATTCAGTCGTTTAATTCCTAAAATGGAATCATTCCTCTCTGGTGCACCTGTTGAAATTCAACTAATAGTCTGCACTGACCCGTTCCAGTATCTCATAGGCCCTTAAACGCCTCATAAGGATCCTAAAGTGTTCTCAGGCCAGATGAGATATGTGAACCCTACGGAGAGTTCTGGGTCTCCTCCCAGCTGAAAACCTCCCAGTGGAAGGTACCAGGAGGAGCAGAACCAGATGTTGAACCACGTGAGCTGATCCTTCAAAGGAAGGAGGAAACGACTGCAAATGTCTGAAGTCCTTGTTCTGTCAAAACACAAAGCAATCCAAACAAGACACCGTCCAGCCAACATATAGCAAAAGCAAGACGACAGACAAGACATAAAATGTAAAAAAATGAAACACAGAGACACAAAAAAATACAAAATATGAAAAAATTGAGACAAACAGAATGAGACAAAACTAATACTCGTCTCAGCTTCTGGTATCTCAGCTGGACTGTGAAGGTAAAAACTACAGCTGTGGTTACAGGTAAACACCAGCAGCAGAGAAACTCACCTCACCTGACCTCACCTGACCCCACATTCAGAATTACTCGCTGAGCCCATGTTTTGAGGATTTATCAAATCAGCTGCTGTCATAGTCAAGCTGTCTGACAACATCCTGAGAGGACAGATGCAAGGCTGCAGATAAACTCATTGCTGTTTAATTTCCTTCTCTGTTTACAGACATCAGACTCAGGATCACATCTGTTACAACAATGTAAACTATTACTTGACACATTTATTTCTCTGGAAACTTTCATAACATTTCACTTCTGCTGAAATATGTTGAAAGAGAAACAGAACAGCTGAAGGGCGTCATAGTCTTTTATTTCTTATATAGTTTGGAAGGGGCTACACGGTGCTCGGTGGTTAGCAAGGTCCCCAGTTTGTGTCCCAGTTAAGATGCCCAGGACCTTTCTGTGTGGAGTTTGCACGTTCTCTCTGTGCAGTGTAGGTTCTCTCCTGGTTCTCCAGCTTCCTCCCACAGTCCAAAAATATGTTGAGCACATTACATTCATCAAACATCGAAGGGATATTTAAAAGGGCTGTACTCACTGTTGTTGTAAATTGTATATCTACTTGTTGTGCATGATGAAACATCATTCTACAGGTGATGTGCAGCGTAGAGAGAAGAAGTTTGCAGAGGCTGCAAAACTGTAAATACTGAAATAACTACAGTATGTGGAGCCTCCATTTTTTCCAGTGTTGGTAACACCTGTGGACACTTGCTATCCTGTTGTGAAATACCATCCATCCATCCATCCATCCATCCATCCATCCATCATCTATACATCGCTTAATCCTCACTAGGGTCTCAGGGGGCTGGAGTCTATCCCAGCTGACTCAGGGTGAAGGCAGGGGACACCCTGGACAGGTCACCAGTCTATCACAGGGCTACACTTAGAGACAGACAACCAAGCACACTCACATTCACACCTACGGACAATTTAGAATCACCAATTAACCTCAACATGTTTTTGGACTGTGGAGAGAGAACCCACGCTGCACGGGGAGGACGCAAGATCCCGGGTGTCCTCACCGGGAAGTGAACCGGTGACCTTCTTGCTGCAAGGCAACGATGCTAACCACTGAACCACCTCACAGCCCTGTTGTGAAACACATGAAGATTTTTTCTTCTATTTCATGACTCCTACACATTGTCTAACTTGCTCTAACAACCTCTCTTAACAAATAAATGGATTTTGTCAGTCAGACAGACTGTTAGACTGAGAGTGTTTTTAAAATTTTAATAATGATTTTATAACTGTGTCATAGTGTCAAAACACATTTCTGAGTTCTCCCTTCTTAATCACAGTGGGAAAAAATGAGACAGAAACTGTTGGTGGTTCAGAGGTGGATACTGAATCTGAGCCAGACTATGATTATCGTGAACATTTCCGTTATGGAGTCAGAGAACATCCAGCGAGAAGCTCGGCAGGACTCCTCAATGGCTGTGAACTAACAATTCAGATGTGCATCTTATGACCTCTTCTAGTCAGTCACTTGTTCAGAGTCTGTACTGTCCATCTTGGCTCCTTGCTGCAAGTAAAACTTTGCTTTGACTGAAGAGACGACTGAGCAGTTAGGACTCCATTGAAAAATTCTCCTAACCGTCTGTGTGCTGGTCACTATCTGATCGCTGAGAACACACCTGTCCATGTGTGAATTCACTCACTGATCCACTCTGAGTCAATAAGGAAGAACGTCTGATAAAACAGATGCAGTGTGGATGCAGCTTCATGTCCTTATTTAGTCAAATGTTGAGTCCGTGAAGCTGCAGCGTCATGTGTCCAGTCAGTATAAGAAGAAGTGCGTTTGGTGAATTTTGCTTCAGCTGCTGGAGACATCGACCAGGTAAGCACGATAATAGTAGCAATGATAATACAATGACTGCTTTAGTTTGTCTGCTTTGGTTTGTTACAAACTGTTCACATCTGTTGTGCTGCTGCTTCTAACGTTTTCATTCATGTGCACCAAAGTTTTTTCTACTGAGTCACAAATTTGAGCATTTTATCAGTTTTTACATTCATCAATCATTTCTCAAGTCAAGACATGAAGCCAGCTTTGTGGTAAATGTTGTCATTTCTGACTCCTCACTGTGTTGGTTTGTTGCTCCAAAAACGAAAAGGTTGTTTTGTTTTTTTTTGTGTGTATCTGCTTGTGTTCGTCACTTCTTCTTCTTGTGTTTCAGGTTTGTGCCTCAGGATGACCTCCAGTGTGTTCTCCGTCTTCTTCCTCCTCGCCTCTCTGGTTTTCTGCGTCTCGGCGGTCGATCCTGCCGGCGTTAAAATCAGAATCACCAACCATGCGCTGGACATGTGTAAGACTCACAAACTGTCTGAACCTTTATTCATCTTGTTGTTGTTCATCTGCATGTCTGTGGGGTGACTGAAGGTTCTCTGGTACGTTTTGATCAGCTGTTTGGTTACAGAAACGTTGACTCAATGTTCTCTTTATCAGTTTGCTTTGTTCTCTGAATGTGGTTCCACAGTGAACCTCCAGGCTCAGGCTATTATCCAGGAGCAGCTGCTCAACAGACCCTTTGAAAGGTTTCAGCTTTTACAGTGCAACATCAACGGGTGAGGAGCTTCACTCGCCTGCTGCTTCTCATTTATAGAACCACAAACACAGCTGAGTCCATGAGTCCTCATCAGCATTCTGTTAAAATATCTGAAAACTGGAAATTTGTCTTGTCAAACTGACACATATCAAATTCTCCTGATGTTAGTGGATCAAATGTTGGTGGAATGTCAACCAAAGGCTGTATTCTTAGTAGGAACTATGGATACATCCATATACTTTTAGGAACTTGTTGTTCAATGGTTCTGATCTTGTGGAAGCTATTTGGTCTGTATGTCTATTCTGTGTCCTCCCCAAATTTCATTTATTTATGGAGATACTGAACCATTAAAGTGGCTTCATAGGTTATCTGAAGGTGAAAACCCAAACATTCTCAGGTCTGAGAACATGAAATTCTCTAAATTCAGCCAAAATATTTAATAGAACTAGTTTTGGGTCGGGCTGCAAGGTGGGCGCTGGTTAGGACCGTTGCCTCGCAGCAAGAAGGTCACCGGTTCTCGTCCCGGTGGGCACACCGGGATCTTTCTCCCC